CTAACTTAAATTAGTATAACCTTCACCTACCAGAAGGAGACAAAGATTCTCTTAACAGTTTGCACAAGCATCCTTACTGAATGATTTTTAGTAACAATAATAGGATAGCATTTTAATCACAGAATATTACACCTTAACCAAGAAAATGCATAATTTCTCCTAATGATTGGATGCCATTCATTTGCCTCACACTCTTTATTATTATACCTATGTGAAATCAATAATAATGTGAAACAATATAAGTGTAGTAATTGATTTCTATTCAGACAATGATTTGCATTTTCTCATAGTGGGTGGCAAAATTGATGGTGAAACTAGCCGCTGACATCAACACAACTCACTGGCCTGTGTACAAATGAATTATTCACTTTTTATGTATCTACTCTGTGTGCTATGTGAAAATTGAAATACCGTAATCTCCGTCTTCTTTTTAAATCAATTGCCATCCAGCAGAAACATTCACATGTATACATCGTGGAATGTCAAATAACATCCGTATTAATTGTTGCTGTGATAATAACAATGATACCATTATTAGTAATAGCAATAGTTGCTGTAGCAACAGCACTGCAATGAGTCTAAGTATTCGGCAAAAGATGTTGTGATAATGTTTAATATGCATTGCTTGTATGTGTGTAAATATGAGAGTATGTAACCTGTTCTAAGGGAGCTGGGGAGTTAAATAAAACGAAGAAACCCTAATGACCAATAGCATATGAAGTCAAGAGAAGAACGGAAGTAAATATAGCCGTAACTATTTAGTGGTCGTTACTTCTAGAATGCCGATAAGACGACAGCGGCGATAATGGTGACAACCATGAATGACGGCAATGACGATCACGACAACAAAATCGATGGTAATGCTGATGAGAAGTTTTGGCAACGCACACAATGACAGTAAACAAATCAACACTCGATGCATTCATCGAGTAATCAGTCGTAACAAATGTACAGGAATAGAAACAAACAATCCATCTGGTTGTCCAAAATATTCGAATTAGAACAATGGTGAGTTGCGCCTTGCAATCTTAGCCAACAAAACGTAAGGCAATTTCACAAAAAAAAAGGAGAAAAAATCTCTCGTACTTATACCAAATAGTTTTCATAGACTCAAAAATATTCGTTTCTTTCAATTTTTTCTTTTTTCAAGAAATTAAAAACCCCAAAGATGTGATATTTGTTTGTTAAAAAATTACGGTAATCTCTTAAAGCACATAACATCATTATCATCATCATCAGCAATATCATAACTACTCTTCTAAAGTCTAACCAGACAGTGAAATATATGAGTCATCTTTCTCAAACATTTCCAAACAATGTCATATCAAACAACGATAAAATTTAGAAATTACCATCAACACACACACAAACAATGACGTCATAAATGTGTGTAATAGTAGGGAACAATTTAGGATCAAAACGAAAAAAGTAAACTATAGAAGAAGGATGTTAATGCAGAGGGGAACATTTTGTTACAATGGCTAATGTTGTTTTCTCTTTCTTTATTTCTCTCTCCTGCATCCATAATCTCCCATAAAAGTAAGTGCAATTCTTCCAACAAAAAATAGAAAGTAAGTCATACATTTTATGGTACCATAGACAAAGACACGCGTAACATACACACACATACACACGTACATACACACACATACACACGTACATACACACATACACACGTACATGCACTAATACACACATACACATAAACACACGTACACACAGACACACGCATACACAGACACACACACACACACAGACACACACAAACACTAATCAATGTCCCCCTTTTTATCCAACGAAATAAAAGCATAGAGTGAAAGGAGATAAAATCATTCATTCTACGAATGTATATGCCTACAATCAACCATCCAACCACAAGAACTGAGGACACTCAAGCTATGAATTTCTATCTAGTACTGATATCTATAGTGCAATCGCAACTTGCATGGAATCTTTTCACACTGCAAAACCAGTGAAATATGCATATTACATGCATGCAGTGGCTCTTACAATACACAGTTTTTCTTGGCACATATCAAAGATGCACATAAGTATTGGTGCACATAACTACAACAGTATTGATTAAAGGTTATATGATATATGGGAACCAAAAACAAGCATAATAGCTTTCACATTCAAAAGAATTGGAGTGATGGTCGGAGCCATACAATGTCGCTAAACCCATATATAACCATTAAGAATGAGGATAAATGTTTGAGCTTATTGCCGAGAGAAGATAGTTGGTAATCTTATAACAACAATCCTTTCGAAATACCCTTCCAACTCGACGAAACTTCCATGACAATAAAATAAATACTAAACGGAGCAATTTGCCAGCAATACATGTAATACACGTGAGATCGATTAACCAATACTTCAGCATCACAAATTCAAAAAAAAGAAAGATTTTCTGTCCATCGAGTTAAAAATTAAAAGCACAATACTTGGAACACAGACATATTTGACCTAAAACCGAATGATACCGCAAAAAGAAAACAATGCTAGTAAAAAAATCGCATACCTTGATGGACAGCAACTTCACAGTTGGGACCATCGCAATAAACGAGTGGGTTCGATTCCCAACCATTCTCGTCGGCACAGACGCAACAGCCGCCAAGCATTTCCTGAAATGTTAAAATAACTTGCTTCACAAATTAAGACCGAAGGAAAGGTTTTCTTTTTATAAAATGAGAACAGACATATCAGATCATTACATTTCCCTATCAAAAGCATCTTGATTTACTTCCTTTGCATCCGAAAATCGAATAACAAATTTGAGAGTGCCGATTCTTGCCTGATCTTCAAAGTACGAAAATCAATCCTTACTGATGCTTAAAAATAATCTCTCCATCCTGCTTCCTTCTTTTGATTGTTATCTTGGTAATGATGCTTAAATGGGAAATTAAACTCAGATAAAAAGAAAAAGTTGACAGTAAAGGGCTGATATTTCGAAGCTTAAAGGATGATCAATATATTTAAGCATTGTAATGATGAATATGTTTAAGCATTGTACATCGATTTAGCACTATCATGCTTCAACTGAATCAATTTTAAAGTTACTTATATTTGTGTCTTTCCGCCTAGTGTTAATTTTTGTCTTCATACCCATCAATATAAACGTAAAATAAAAAACAAAACCAACCTTATTTACTACAACATTTTCGGCTCGAGAAGTGCTTGCCTCATCCGGGAAATTTGCCACTGCCGTCCGTTTACCAATTGCTTTCTTTTGAAATAAATGTTAAATCTGTCAAAACGCAACATTATTTTTGATTACCTTATGTCACTATCTTATCATACCACCGTCATCATCACGACGTAAAACGAGTCTTGCACATTTCCACATAATTCAAAATGGAACATATGTAAGCATCACACTATATGTATCATATATATATATATACAAACTTACATATAATATGTGCATGAATATGTATTATAAAATTGTGACTACAATAAGGAAAAATGAACTGATATGAAAAGCATTATAAAAACGAAAAGGATCAAAACCCCTGAGATATATCGAGTTTGCAAGACATAAAGGACCTGGACATTTAAAGATACATTTGCAAATCATATCTAGTAGCAGTTAGAAAAATCATCAGTCATTATGCAGTAATCTTAATAATAAATGTCATTGTATCCTTCACAAATGATAGTAACAAATGTCTTATCTATTAAATCGCATCTAACTAATATTTCTTCTTGCAAATCAAATCATCACATAGCCAAACTCTTCTCTGTCCTCTACGGGATAACAGTCGAATCCAATATGGATAGAAGAGGCCAAATTCGCCTAATCCAAACATGCAAAACTCAGAAGGGAATAGAGGGGCATAGAAGACTTGTCCTACTACTGACAAATATCCCAAAAGGTATATATATCACATCATCTCTTCAAGTAGCCTAGCACTGATATCGATTATGATCTGCACAGCAAATGCTGTGAAATGGAGAAATGACAAACTGGCGCCGCTTCAAAACGAAGTCGTAAAAAAAAGTTCCTTAAAAGGACGTCCGAAATGCGAAAGAACCTTGAAAAATTTCTTCACATACAAAAAACACACACACACATACTATATATACATATATACATGCACATACATATACACACAGATATACCCATACATACATAAAAGAAAATCATTTCTTTTCACGACTTACCAATTAAACGAATTACGATACGATAAGATACATGGACACACACATATATATATCACACACACAAACACACACACAGACAGAGCCACACCCACAGTTATGGTTATAGATACAACCTTCAAATGCAACCAATAAATGAAACTCATCAACCAGAAGTTGTCGTTTTCCAGTTATAATCAATCCTTTATCACCAAGCTATTCCACAAATGAGATGAACCATTCAGCGATCAGAAATCTTTCACAAATTCTCATTTAACTCGATATATTTCAGTATAAAATATCATTAAAATGGAACCTGTTATGCGACATTTCAGTTAATAATGACAACCAAAAATTCCATAAACCATTTTAATTTTAAAAGGATGCTACAAAACTTATTAAGCGCACCAAACTAATAACCATCACTTATGATAATGATGATCTTATCAATCGATCTGTCAAATTCGGTTCATATCGTCTACAAGACACTCCTTATAGTAAACCATCATGAAGTACACCTCCTCTCTCCGATAATACCAATACTGATCGTATGGCACCAATGCTTCTGCCACTTGAATCGATTAAAAACAAAACGTAATGAGGAAATTGAAGTCTTCCTAAAAGCTCTAATCACTATGAAATGAGAAAAAAAAGGTTAGCAATCGTTAGTTGCATACACATGCATACACACATACACATTCACACATACACATGCACACACACACACACACACACACACACACAGATACACATACACGTACACGTACACATACACATACATATACACATACGAACCAAAAAGAATTGGAAAAGGGAAGGGAAGGAGAGAGGGGAGAAAAGAAAAAGTTGCTCTTTCGATGATGTTCAACGTCTCAATAGTCGAACAACCAACGGGAAGAGAAGAAATGCCTGATGATAGATTGATGTCGTTGAAGCCATCCTTACCACCACCGCCACCACCATCACCGCCTCTTTTACCTGCTCCTCCTTCATCATCCTCTCCAAACTACCGATCTACTGGTGCTATTTCCTTCGTCACAACTTACACACCACATACAGATACATATACAAATACACACACGCTGACCCAACCAACCAGTCATTTGAATCAACCAATTAACCCAACCCAACCCAACCAACCAACCAACCAACCAAACCAATCAGTCATTTAAACCGACCAACCTAACCAGCTAACCAACCAACCAAACCAATCAATCATTTTAATTACCAAAGCAATCTAACTCGACCAACCAGCCTAATCAACCAACCAAAACAAGGGAACCAAATATAAGGAATAAAAAAAAGGAACTGTCGAAGCATTAGCTTCTTTTTCATGTTTATTTCAAAGTTAACGAATTATTCTCATCTCTATTCATAGACACACTTCTTCCAGAAATTTTTAAAATTTTATCATCTCATCACCCTTTCTCTTCCTTTAATGTCATTCGTTTATTCATTCATTCATTCACCCATTTATTTCAACGACTGATTACAGAGGAGGAATAATCTATTTATATTTCAAAAATCATTCCAACTGATTAATTCTCTTCACTTAGTCTGATAACAATCTAATAAATTACTCAAATCTAATCACATTCATTCAAATATAACAATTACTCGATCCAATAATTACCTCTTTATTCTTCCTCAATCTAATAATTACCTCTTTAGCCCTTCGCCGCACGGTAATTCATAAAAAATAAACTGTATCATATCGGATAATATCGGATCAGATCGTATCAGATCAACCGCATCCTAGCCATCATGTATCGCAAATGCCTTCCTTACCACTACATTAATAATTAATAATTAACAATAATAATAATAATAATGATAATAATAATAATAATAAT